TAAAGCTATTTGAGAGAGAGATTTATTTTAAAGGAAACCCTTACACTGGATGTTATTGTTAATACAAATTAATCTTATTTTGAAATGCAGTGTAGAATATTGGTGTCTTTTCTTAATTCAAGACTTCAAACAAAGTCTTTAAACAAAGACTTTAAATCCATGTTTACTGCACACAAGTTCTAGAAATTATTGTATACCACATGCCTGCAGCCACCATATGACCCAGCATCTCTAATGGTTCTGAGGTCTAGTTGGCTTCATTGGTTAATTATGTTTAAATGGCTGAGCAGGGTGTACTGTTAAAAGGTGATGGCTGGACATGTACGTTAACAGCTTTCTGTAACACCTTCCATATGCCAACAATGACACCCATAAAAGGAAGGGGGCAAAATGGAAACAATTTCCCTAAAATCACCTTGCACCAAAGGCTTCTCAGATCTGATGCTGTTCCAGCCAAGGGACCGAGCAGTGCAGTGGTTATATAGTCCTGGGGTAGGTTTGGCATCCTTGTTGGCTTCAGGCCAGCTCTTTCTTACTTGACCTCAGAGTGACTCATAAGTGGTCCATGATTAATTTATTTAAGATTTAAGAACAAGAACTAGAAATTACATAGTTCTACTCCACAGATTTTTGCTTTGCCTCTAGCAAATTAATCAAATGAGAGTCTAATTTGTTTTAGATTAAATGAATTCCCTCTGTTCGCTGTGTTAATCCCCAGCTGAACTGCCTTTTTGTAATTTCCACTCCCTTGAAGCATTGTACTGTAACTTATTTAACTCTACAACTGTATTTATTAGAGGTGTTGCAGTAATAATTTATAACTGGAGGGCAAACAGAATTTGGCATTGGTACTAGGTGGGGTGGGGTGTGGATACTGCCACAATATCTCAAAGCCTTTTTTTTTGGATCAGAGCTCTTGCTTTGTACTGACTCACTAAAATATATGATGTACTGCTGCTCAGCTACAGCAAGCCACTAATTTTCAGCAGTTTGCTGTAAGCTCCACATGACAACCTGTTGTAGCCTCCAAGGAAACTCTTGTAAAGCTGGTGAAAACAGGAGATCTCTGGTGGTCCTTCCCCTACACAGTTAAATACAATTGGTTGCTCACATGTGTTTCAGTTCTGCCCAAAGTCCACCTTTTTTATGGACCTTCCTTCTACCACAGCTCAGTAGAAGTCAGTGAAATAAGAAATCACATTTTAACCAGCTTTTCATGTTTCTTTGTCTTTCTTATTCTGGATTCCCTGTCTTTCAGCTCACAGCTGAGAGCTCGGTACAGCAGCTTATAACTAAATTATGGCCGGTCTTTCCAGTACTAAAGAGTTAATTCTTCCATCTGGGACATAACAATGGATTCTGCTTTATTATCTGCTTCAGGGAGGAGTCTGCCCTTCATATTTTTCACCCAAGAAAATAAGTCTTGTCTGTGTATAAATGTATATGTATGTAACGGAAATATTACATTCATTCTAGTCCTCTTTGTAACTGAGAAGGGTTGGATTTAAACTAAAGAAAAATATTTCTGACTTGGGGCTTTCACAATGTCAAACAAAACCCTCTTATACCAGTTGCAGCCCCACTTATGTGTATGGGCACCACTGATGTAAAAACACAAAATTTCCTTTTGTAATATCAGCCACTGGTGCTCAAAACTCATTAATTTCTTCCACTCTGATTTCTGATGCTGGATTTAAAACCATAAAGCATGAAAACATGCTGGAGGTTTTCTTACTCTTTGCTTTTCTCCTTAGTGTGTATTTTCTTAACCTCTGTAATTCATCACAGATCACATTTTCATAGTTTCTCTAGAAAAGCTGTTCCCTTTTCAACAAAAACTTGGGTTTTTCTGTATTTTCCTGATTCGAAGATACCATGAAGCTTTGAGATTTTTCTAAAACTTGTGACAAAACTTTAATATTTTCAGCACTGGAAGAGGGAGTTGAGGGCCAAGTTTCTGTCACCTCCAGTGAGTGCAACACTGACCAAAAGGCATGGGAGGAGCAGGTTGGAGCACATGGTTTTGCCTCAGGACTTAAATTTATAGGCTTGTTTGTCAACTTCATTTTTAATATTTCAAACAGAGATTTCTTTTGAAGTAAGACTTTCAACCCATCCTAGTCTCTTTTTCCAAGGGACTCAATGCTATTCAATTCTGAACATTTGGTCTAACTTTGTTTTATTCATTTTTTTCTTCCCATCTTTATTTTCCTTAAACTTGTTACATTAAAGTTAATAAATATTATATTTGCACATGATTTATGGCAGTTGTGACTGAAAGACCACTGAGCTTAGTCTGTTAAATAATTTTAATAGACTTTCCCTAAAGTACATTGCTGCGTGTTCTATATCAACTCACAGGGATTTAAAGATGGTCCTATCTTACGTTTTAGATTTTAGTGAGCAGGGAACCAGGTAACCTGTTGACAAAACTTATTTGTTTCAAATGCCACAAGCTCTCTTCAAAATTAGGAGATTAATGAATAATTATGAAGTATTCAAAGCTTAAAAAAAAATAATAACACCTAGCAGGCAAAGCATGCAGTGCTGCAAGTATTAAAAAGTATATGTATATATATTTCAAAAGTATTTAAGTGTTTATCTAAATAGGTATACAATATATATTGAATATATATATATATAAAACGTGTATATATATATATATATATATATATATATGTTGCAAATATTAAAAAGTTCAAAGGAACAAAAATATGATTATAAATGTGTGCCCAGAGGGCAATGCCATTGTGCTAAGTGTGAAAACCCAAAGGACTAGAGAGGAGGCTAGCAGCCTGGGGGGAAGGTCTTGGGGATGTGACATAGGATGAAGCTGCAGGATTTAAACATGGCCTGGCTGCATACATCAGATATGCATCGGATAAGCCAGGTTACACTCCTGAGAAACAAAAGAGGCAATTGTGTTACAGCCCTGATAGCAGGAGAGGGCAGGAAGCTAAGGGCTCTGGAGCTGATACCGGTTTTTGTGCAGCATTTTATCTTTTGTGCAAGAGGAAGATTTTTCCTGAGTAGTTCACTGCTGGGATGAGAAGCCTGGTTGTTGACTGTTTATGATTTATTAGCATTTGTCACGTTTGGTCAAGTGACCTTGTCTTCAGATAACATTTGGTACAATTGTGAGGGTTTGTTTGGTTTGGTTTTTAAAGGTTTCTTTCTGCTTTCAAAACCAGGATGTGTTTGTTTTGCCTAAGAAGTGTCCATTTCTTAAATGCACCTTTGAACTGGGGGGTTCTAGCTTAATATACAGCCAGGAACACTCTTGATAGTGAGAAAAATTTGTGTTATCTGGTGAAGGATATGAGTTCTGAGCTGTTTTATTGGAGTTGCTGCCTGAGTAAAGGGTGATGTTTTGCAGAATGATGCATTTCATGGACTCCTTTGCTGCTTCAGGCAATGTCTACCTCAGACTTCGGTGCAGGGCACTTTGCAGGTCAGAAGGAGGCGAGGTCAGATTTGCTGTTGGAGATACACTCAAATAATTTATCTTTTGCTGAGCCTGGACGAGGACCGTATCTTTCCTTCAGCTTTGAATTCATCCCCCAAAGGGTCTGTTGTGGCCCAAGTTAGCTGTGGCACCAGTTAGCCCAGTCTCATGATGCAGAGCAGCCTGTTCATGTGCAATAGGTCTGTGGACAAAAAAGTCCTGACTGAGCACACACCTCTCACTCCATCACATCTGTTTATTTGCTCTAGACTTGCTTTTCCACCGTCTCTCATTAAATGTTCCCTTCTGCTGAATCCCTTGACTGGCCTTTGAGCTTCTGTTTCCTTCTCTCCACGTGTCGGGGAATGCTCTGGGTGCAGAGGTTGCAAGTACTTCCTCAGCATCCCATGCTGGAAGGGTGGCACAAGGTGGTGAGCAGCTGCCGAAGCTCCCTGGGGTGCTGACTCTGCCTCCCTGCCACTGCATGCAAGCGAAAGCCCAGGAAATCCCGGGTTTCAGAGAGCAGGGAAGCAGTATCCTAGGCCCTGTTTTAAAGAGAGCCCTGTGGAGGCGTCCCTCCACGTAAAATGGTGCCTGTGGGAGGGGGAAGCCATCAGGAAAGAGGGAAGCAGGGGATGAGCAGCCGGGGCTGTGCTGCCCTCCCTGGCTGTCCATTGCCTGATGTAAAGGCTGGTGCCGGGGATAAGGCAGGGCCCTCGCCTTTCCCGACTCAGCAGAAAGAGGGCTTGCATTGGTAGGAGGCTGAACACACAAACATAGACATATTCTTTTTTTTTTGAAGAAGTCATGCATATATTTCTTCTGCTGATGCCAGCCTTTTCCATTGCTGCTAGAAGGAAGTGGAGAGAAATTAAGTTTCTGACAAAATAAAATTGTGATTATTAACATTTTACTGCTTGCTAGCTGGTAAAGATGGGAACAAAAGGGCTTAAATGGTTTTAATTTTTCTCATCTGTTTGATTTTGTCAGTTCTGTTTCCCATTTTTTATTGGACCTTGCCTCTTCAGACCAAGCTAGTGCCCGTGGGAGGTGGTGGATGGATGGAGAGCCATCCCCTCTGACTCCTCTCTCGTTACACAGGATAGCTACGTGGAGCACTTTATGCAAACAGCCCAGCTGGTGCATGTATGACCTGAGCCCAACAGCCTGGATGGTGCAGGCAGTGGGCTGGAGCGAGTGCCGTGGTCTGGGCAAGCCTGCCCAAGTGGCATGCTGGTGACAATTGTAGCTGCCATCGTGATAAGGGACATATCTGCTCTCGTCTATACTTAGGTGGCCAAGCAGGCCTCAGGATAGCTGCTTGGTGATAAACTGTAGTCGGGATTGGGATACTCGTTGAGGGAAAGGCTCTGAACTGCCTTTTCTACTCGGGGATGGAGGTGGGATACAGGCAATGGAGGGAAAGAAAACACGCCATACAAATTGATTAAACTTTCAAGTACATTAATTTCTGAATGTGAACCTGTACAAACTTCTTCCCATATTTTTCCAGTGATAGTAGTAATAATCTGTTGCTGTGTCTTTCTTTCTCCAGACGATTTTGCAGAGGAGGAGGAGGTGCAGTCCTTCGGCTACAAGAGGTTTGGTAAGTGGCAGCAGATCTTTCATCTCGCTATTGCGTAGTTCTTAGGGTAAGTCAAACACTTGCTATGAAAGCCTCCGTTGCTGGCAGCATCAAAACATACAGGTACAGTCCCGTTATCCACTTCAGTCTAATATCTGCCTGGAGGAAGGTGTGATTTTTAGACTTGGTTTATTTTCTTGGCAAACATAACACTTCAGAAATAGCCCTGATCAGAAGCAAGAAGTGGTTGGTTTCATTATTTGATCATTAACATTATGAAAATGAAGCCCACAACTGAATAGAAATGAACGTGCTGGCTGTAAAAAAGGGTCCACACCTCTTAGATGTCCTCTGCCCAGCTGAGCTTTCCTTCAGCCCCCAGACCGATGTGCAGTGGGATTTGTAGGTGCTCCCAACAGCGGTGGCACGGGACCTCCTGTAGACTCTCAGAAGCTGTACTGCCAGCTAAGACAGGACATATGCTGTGCACTCCTCTCAAAAAAGAAATAAAAGTATATGGTGTGAATACATTCTCATGTCAAAAATTATTAAAACAAGGTCGGTCACTTTCTTTCCTTTTTCCACTTTCATTCCTTTTTTTTGATGTTTGTTCACTGAAAATGGCCTTCTCATGTGAAGAAGGCAGTGCCACGCATCTCTGTGCAGGGGTCAGCAGCCTTTGGGGCTCCTCTTTTCAAGGCTCTTGTGCTCTTTTTCCCCCGGGGAAATGTTTCAGTCTCTGCAGCCGACAGCTTCTCCCAGGGCAGGCTGACTCCTGTCCCTGCAGCCCACAGGGAGGTGACATGGTGGTCTCTGAGCTTCCACAGTGCCAGCTCTGTCTTGGACCTGCCAAAGGGGATCATCCTCCAAGCTGCTGGCTGCTGTTTCAACTGTAAGCTATCAGGATAAAAGTTCACCTTATTTTTTCTCTCCTGGGAAAGTGACTGCAACAAGAGTCGCTTTCAACATTCCCACTTGGCAAATGGATAGGAAAGGCAGGCTGAAAATAAAAAATAAGTCAACAATTCCCTTCATCCCAAAAGTATCAGGGGGAGGCAGGGTGAGGAGATGCGGCATTCAGGAGGTGGGGATCACATTCGCATGACCTATTCTACCCCCTGAACTACTCCACTGCTCCCTGCTGTTGAGCTTTATTTTGGATAGGTCAGCCAACCACCGAGCCAGCATCTGTGGCTTGGAAAGTCCTGCCATAAGGCTGCATGCAGGGTTTTTTCCTACTTTTTTTTTTTTTTTTTTTTTTTTTTCTGGATTAGGCCCTGGAATAGCAAATAAGAAAAAAAATCTTGAGAAATGGGAATGTTAACTGTTCATTTCTGTCACCTCCAACTGAGTAAAAAATACTAGGATTCATTAACATCTATAAAAATAGCTTCCCTCCATGTTGCCCACTACTTGCTATCACTGGTCAGCATGGTCTTGCAGTGAACCATGAAAGGTTTTAGCAAGGAGCAGGTACCCCACTATCCTTCCCACCCCAATAGTAAGTGCACTGTTGTGACATGATGGGATTTTTGTGTGTTAACTTACTTTAATTTCTTTCTCTCTCCTGGGTAATATGGCACTACCAATACGAGTTATTTCTTCCCTTAGAAACACAAGGTTTATCTGAGCATTTCCAGAAATGCTTGCGCTGTTGCATAATTCTGTAGTGTCCTGATCTAAGAAGCCGCCTTTGTCCATACTATTTCTGAGCACAAACTTCCTCCCATACCCCCTTCCTCATCTTTCTCAGCAATATGGGGGAAGCTCAAGGCAAGAACTAAGTTTTATACAAACCCTTGATAAAAGGTCATTTTGAAAGGAGTCCTGTCCTGTCTTCTGGCTGATGCTGTAGAAATCTCAGCACTGTTCATGTACAGCCTGCTGGAGTGGGCAGTAATAAAAGCAGCAGTGGGGTTTTTTTGTTTCAGGAACCATGGTGTAAGAGCAGTTGTGTTCATATATTTTGACTGGATTAGTCCTTGTATGCCCCGTTGACATGGGACATGGTAGGAGGACCATAACTCAAGTTCCTTTGACACCATCATTTGGAAGTGTGGGGCCTTGTTTGGAGCAAAATGTGCTCCAAGGGGGAAATGGCTAAAGCACAACTGGTTTGTAGAAAACATTGCTTGTTTTGAATCAGTGCTGGCAGCTGGGAACATGTGTTGGTCAGCACTTGGCAGGCAAAGCCTTGACCAAACTGCTTTCCTAGAGTTGAGCTGTAGAGTTTATTATTAGCTGCCTTGTTGCCGGAGCCTGTAGTTTGGTTCAAGGAAGGAAGAGATCTGTGGAGGGAGGGAAGGAGAGAGGCATTATTCAACAGTTCTTGTTTTGGGGAAGAAGCTTTTAAAAAGAGCACTGAATATACACTGTCCTTCACCACTTCCTCTTTTTCTGAATCTTTCTGTCCCTCCTCCTCAGATAAGCTAATTTCAGAGAATTTATCATGCTACCTTATTTTTAGTCAGTAGAACATTAACTGATCCTAATAAGCCAAACATACCAAACATAACACACTAACATATTAAATAACAGTGAATACAGATGCAGACAACTCCAGGATGCTAGACAAATACACACCAGCATTTTTTCTCTTTTGAGCTTGGGACAAGTTTGCTGCAGGGAGTCAGAGAGGTTGAGAAAAGCACTCTTTTCAGCTGACTGATGCTGTTTACTTCTTCTCAATGGATGCTACAGATGTGCAGAGATGCTGCCAGAAGTGCAGTGCTCAGCTGCAATGCCTCCAGATTGCTGCAGTGAGAAAGCACGTGATGAAGAGTGTTTCTTATCACCGTTACTTCATCATCAGTCACTGCTCAGGCTGCTTTGAAGTTATTTGCTCCAGATAACAAGCTATGCCTCTCCACTGGTTTCCCTCTACCAGGTTGCCACCAATGTTAACTCTTTCGTCAATCAGTTTCATTGGTTTGGATCATCTCATGCAAACCCCACATTTGGAAAGAATAAATGAAGAAAGGGCAAAACTTGCTTTTTCAATCTTTCACACTTTTGGGATGCTAAATCTCAGGACTGAGAGCTCAGCCTAGTTTCTAGACAGTAGATAGAAGGATGAGCTCTCTTTACCACAGGGTTTTGACGCTTTCCTCTGAGATTCAGGCTCTGGGCATAGCCACTGGCAAGAGAATTGAAAGGAACTAATGGACTTGGAGGTGGCAGACTTCATCTTCCTAACTTGTGGCATTCCCAGGTAATAGATACAGAGATCATTGTGAATTTTATTTCTTTATGTTAATGTTTCAGAACTTAAAACCTGCGCTTTACTGAATGGAGTATTTAATCAAAAAATTTCAATGTGAAGTTACTCATTGTGTAGTTTGAAGCAACAGTACGATATGGAACAGCTGAAAGCAAAGGGGATCGTCTTTGAACTGTTGCGAAGAACGTTTGTAAAGTTTTAGAAAACAGGCTGTGGAGAAATGAACTGAAAGCCCTGCTGATGAAGAGAAAGCTCCCAAGGAATCAAAAGATAGGGCCAGTACACTATAGATAAGTCGAAGACTAAATAAGCTTGAGTAAGATAATTACCCTTTGCCCTCAGCAAACGCAGCCAGAATTGGAGACTGTAAGCCTGTCCTCCATAGCAGGACCCATCTTGGTCACTCCTATGCTCTAGACTGTGAGTCAGGTTCCTCCCTGCCTTCACCTGCCCACTGCCCTGCCATGGGGCTGGGCCCTGGGTAGGGGCAGACCCTCGGGTCCCCCAGTATCTCCAGTGCACCAAGGCACTGGTCCTCCAGTCTTGCCCCCACCCTGTAGGTCAAGAGCTGACAGGAGAGGACTAAAAATTAATTGGGGACCCTCTCAAGTAAGGTAAGTACTTTTTTAGGTATCTTCCGTAGAGATGACTGGGTCAGGATGTCCCTTCTGTGCAGGTATGACAATCTAGCTCCTGAGCATCATTCCAAGTATAAGAATTTCTAGAATTTCTGGACCAGAATTGGATGAATCATCCTGCCATGCGATGATGAAATCTGCTATACTAAAAAGAGATGAGGGGAAAATAACCCTGATTTAAAAACATATTTGGAAAATATGATTTTTTTCCCTGATGAATGGCTTGGGAGCAGCTGAACTAGATCCATTTAATAACTATTTTATCACTATATATTTTTTATAGTATTTTATACAGTGAAAAGCTATATATTATTTCTCCACCTTTGATAGGATACAACTGGGGAGTTTTAGAAGTGTAACAATTGATAAAAGCCTTATGAATGGTTTACAGTGAAAAATGAAAACAGAAAACTTTTTCAAAATAGGGTTTAAAGGAATATGATTTTTTTCTGACTATAAATAACGGGTCAAACATGATCATGTTAAGCAAAACTCATGGCTTGGAATTGTGTGATAGTTCAGGAATATCATTTATTCATTAACATTGCACAGGCGGAACAATTTTAGTCCTTATCTCTGGATAAATCCAGTCCATTGTTCACATCTATAATAACATGCACAAAAAAAATGTCTGGCATCAGTCTGGTGGTGTGCTATATCTGCACAAACCTTAAGCCCTTAACAAAAAAAAAAAAAAAAAAAAAATTCTAAGCTTTAGGAATTTGTCAACTTTTCTTTATAGTTTGTAAATGACCAGTGAGGGATTTCAGGTGCCACAAGCCACATCCCTCCCTGGGCATTCTTTCACACGTGTGCCTGCAGCGTGTAATCATATGGCTTAATAAAAAGTCGTGGGGTCACCGATACTCACAAAGCCAGAGGAAGGTCAGGCACGTTGCTTCCAGTTCACTGATCTGGCCATATTTATCAGATGAGGATTTTGCCTGTGTGCGTCCTGGGGTAATTAAATCCCCACTGAATGGTGGTGCCTGTGTGGCTGTTCATTTTGGGCTGAGAAATTTCATTTGGAGCGACCTTTTTAATTGCCATGGCCAAAAAGATGGAAGGGAGGCGAGCCTGCCCTCTTCTGGGGTGAGCCCTGAGTGGCGGGGAGAGCCCAGTGCCCTCGGGGGTCCTGGGTTTGTGTTGGGGCTTCAGTGCCA